AGCATGGTGAGGTAATTGGCATGTTTTGGGCTTTTGTTTATGGGTACTGGCCTAATGGGTTTGGTGTGGTCATGTATTTGCATACTTTTTTATTTGTTGTTGTACAATTGTCTTGTTATATTATATATATAAAAAAACAATTAGTTGTCACATATTTTTATGATTGAAGAAAGTTTTTATATTATTATACTAATAATGAAATTATTTAGAATGTCTAATTTTGGATATGAGGAAATTGATTATTTATAGGATTGGGTGATCTGAAATATCTTGACTGTAAAAAGTCTTGGAAATGATGTTGGAAATTTATCTTCAAACAAATTATACTTTAAATGAATTTTTGGACTAGCTTATAGATAAATACTTGAAATGTGTTTCACATTTTGGATTAGCTAATATTTTTATCAATTGAATTTTTTTCCTAAATAATCTGATTTTTGAGACTGAAACTCTTATACTGATAACATATATAAATTTGTATTATGCTTGATCCTTTTTTAGTTAATAGATGATGGCTTTAATTTTTGTTAAAGACATAGAAAAATTTAAAATAACAATCTACAATCATAGCTCAAACCATTTAACCCAATCTTATATAATATAGTAAAGTTTTTCAAAATTCAAGCCATGAAAGATTGCCATGTGTCAACATTTATCTTTTTAATATTGAAAAGAAAAGAAAATTTAAGTGTCTTTTAATAACTTTAGCAATAATTCTAAAAATTCAATAACTCATTCTTGTGTAAATTAATTCTAACAAGTTACAATGAAGTGTTTGTATACATTTTTGTAACTTTTATGTAAATTAAAATATAATTTTTATGTAAATTTATGCATAGAAAATAGATCTTTTATTTATCAAATCCAACAATATCTTATACAACAATTTTTTTTGTCTTTTGTATAGATAACTGTGATTTAAAAAAAAATCTCAAATGAAAAGCTTAATAAAAATAAGCATAACATGAAAAAAAAAGATTATAAGAGAAAATTAAATAATGATTTTAGGATTTTTAGGGCTATTAAATCCAATAAATCTGATTGGAGAAATTTAAATTTTTTTAAATGCTTTCATAGTTTTAAAAGTCAATTTATCAATCACCTTCTAATGCAATTGAAACAATTTGTGTTGGACAAAATAATGTTTCTAACCAAGACTCTCGAAAGAAAACTTTACTCAACCACAAATTGTAAATCCACAAAAACAAAATCACTTCACCAATGAATTGATATCAAAGATAAAAGTCACTGTAAAACGATAAATAGAGTGACAAAAATACAATCAAACATCAATTATTTCTCTTTATGATTCAATGTTCTAATGAAATATAAAAAAAAAGATGCGTTCCAATACCTCTGTTGAGATGATGTAGATGTCTCGGTAAAAATAAAACATACTACAACTTGACTGATCAATAAATGTTTACAGACGTATTTGATGCAAAAATGCGACCAATCATTTTTTTAGGAAACCGTAGTGAATATTTGATTCAGTCATACAAGTTAAAGATTTGTGTCAAAGAAGATGTCTTCCATATGCTGTAATTTTTATTAATGAACGACATATTTTTTTTCATATATAACATTGTATATGTCCAATAATTTGGCACAAATGCTTTATCTTCTAACATAGATAATTATTTACTATAAACACCAAATTTATATAATTTTTAAATACACAAATAATCAATAAATATAAATTATTAATGTTAATTTTTAAAACTCACGCAACGTATGGGAAATCCCTAGTACACTATATTGTAACGTTCGTTTTTGATGGGTAATCTCCTGAAATGTCCTCATGTTGCACCCCTCCCTTTTTTAGTTCGGAGTCTTGTGGTCAAGTGGTAAGGAGACGGGCTTGTGACGCCAACACGTTACAAGTTCGATCCACCTGATACGCAAAACTAAAACACATTACTTTAGACACCCATATGGATATGGATCCTTGCTTTCGGCCCATTTGCATACTCGGAGATAGAGTCTATCCATGAGTTACACTCCTCCATAGGTCTGGAATTTATCCTAATTCATTAAAATAAAATAAAAAAGACGTCCGTTTATGATTTCTTAGCTAAACCCAATTAATTCAACCAGATATGATCTTTACCGTTTTTGATTTCTTAGAATTTTGATGATATTATATGTTTCAGTATTTTATTGTTTTTTTTTAACTCTTTGCAAGTGTTTTAAGTGTTCGACTCCAAGCAAACCCAATTTCTTAAAATGGGCTAACTGCCATTGACCAAATCTTTATTCTCGAAGAAAATATCTCGTTGCTAGGCTCATTTCATATAAAAAAAGTAAATATCTGTAACTAAATTCGGTCGTCCTACTATGCAAATAATTAAATAAATGAAAATCTGAAATGCTTATTTCATTTTCATCACAATCTGACCTTATGAGAGTTGATCCTCGCCAATGTCCTAAGACTCATTTATATTTATTACAAGTCCATATCTAGTTATTGTTCACGAAATATTTTAGTCCCAAGGTTTTTACATAAGCATGTAAATATATACACGAATATTTGGTGCATATTAATCAAGAGATTAAAAAATACAAAAATCACGACAATTAATTTGCTTTCGTGTTCTATAACCTCAACCCAAACTATACACAATATTCTTATCGACCCAAATTAAATTTTCCCAACTACTTATTCCTAATTGAAACAAAATCAAACCTTTCTTGTTACAGCCTATAGTAAAAAGTNGTTCTCATTTCTAC